TTCGTTGGTTTCCGGGTAAACTCAAGTCCAAATGGTCGGGCCTCTTTGTGATATCAAAGACTACTCCTTATGGCTCCTTTGAGTTAGATTCGGAAAGCAACAAGTTTATGGACAATGGTCATCGTTTAAAGCATTACTTTTGCAAGGAAGAAGTTGGTGTCATCGAATGTATAATGCTTGATCCTTTGGATCCCAAGCCTCCCCCTTGAAGAATTTTCCTCATGGTCAAGCTAGTGACCTCATAAAGAAACGCTTCTCGAGAGGCAACCCGAGTTTCTAACTCTTTTCTATTTTTTTTATATATATTCCGATTTCACTTTCTATTTTGAATTTGAATTTTATTTTTCCCCTTTTGGTTGATAGGTGTTTGGATGATGAAGGAGTAAAGGTTTTTCTATATCGCAGATGAGAGAAGAAAGAAATTGAAGTTTGCTCTACGCGACCTTGTGCGCGACTTCTGTGCTGGCCCGTAGTGAAAAGTATGCGGGCGCGCAGCTCTGTCAGAACCCGCACACTTTTATTCAAAATTAGAGATTAGGGACAGAAGGTTTACGCGACCCTGTGCGCGACCTCTTTGCGGGCACGCAGGGAAGGGTGTGCGGGCGCGCAAGCATTGTCAAAACCCGCACACTGTTGTTCAGAATTGGAGATTTGAGGCAGTGAGTCTGCGCGACCTAGTGCGCGACCCTTGTGTGGGCGCGCAGATTCCTGTGCGGGGGCGCAGAGCTGGGAAAATCGGGGTTTAAGCTCTTCTTCCCCATTTCACCCTCGTATTTTCGCAAGCCCTATTTCATGCTCTCTTCTCTCTCCTAACAAACTCAAACTCTAACCCTTCAATTTCAACAATTTCTCACAAATTCCATTGATTTTCCTTCTAATCCATCAAAATTTTTCACTCTACTCACAATATTACCCACTTTCTCTCTCCAAATTACCCAAAAATCCTCCATTTTTATGGTGTGCAAGCTTGGTTGAAGGTGGTGTTCTTGAAGGTTCTTAGTGATGTTCAAGCCTCTACTAAGTGTCGTTTCTTTTGTTTTGGCTCGCTTTTCAAGCTTGGAAATGGAGATGAAGGATGTTAAGGGGAAAATCGAGCCCCATCGGTGAGATTGCATAATTTATTTTGTCTTCATTTCAAGCGGCATTTGGTGAGACCTTTCCTCTCTTTTATTTTCTTTTTCTTTGGGTGTTTAGCTTAGGTTTAGCTTAGGAAGAAGTTGAATGGTTCGAGGATGTTTGCTTTTGGTTCTATGGAACCAGGGATCGTTGATGTTGTTATCGAATGATCACTTGTATAACGATTGGGGATTTAATTGGATTATATGCCTCGTGTGTGAACCTTTTTTTATTTCTTCCTCTTTCTTTTGTTTTGTTTTCCCCTTTTTGTGTTACAAGCAGAATTATGACAATTTGAAATGATTTTTGATTTGTAATTTGCTCACTCTTTTAGATTGGTTTGCCTCTCTTGACGATGTGTCTTTGAATGCTTATCTTCCTAGTTGATGAGGGTTTACACGGTTTGAGAATGCTTAGGGTTGAATTAGACACGTTGTAAGCTAAGGTAGCCCGGTTTAGAACTTTTGAGGATGTTTGAACCCCTAATCCACGGGAAAATGGTAAGATGGTGTTGCTCTCTATGGTGGATAGGATTCCCTTGGTTGGTATTTTCTATATTTCATATCCCGTGTGAGCGTCATTTGTTCTAGCCTTCATCATTCTTGTGAGCGGCATTTTGGATCCTTAACTATGCATATCTTAATCTTTGTGTTGGCGTCTTGCTCCCAAGATCGTGACCATATAACTCTACAGGAGGAAGAGGGCCTTTCTTCTCATTTTTTTCTTTGCTTTCTTTGTGTTTTGTTACAAATTTGGTTTTCATTTTTGCATCCACCCACTTGCTAACCAATTTGAGCCTTATTTCCCCTTTCTTGGCTTAGCCATATTACAAACCTATCGGCCTATGTTCTACCAACCCTTGTAGTTAGTGAAGCATTGGCTTGTGAGGTTCGAGTTTGATAATGTTGAAATTGAGCAAGAAAGTTGTGTAATTTAGTTCAAGTAAGGTTTTGAAAGATTATTCATGAAAAGAGTATGCAAAAAAGTTTGGCAAGAAAGTTGAAACTCATGAAAACCAAAGAAAAAAAAAGTGAAGGAAATGAAAAGGATTGAAGTAATGTGGTGTGGTTTGTTTTGAAAGGTTGTAAGTTTGAGAATAGGTTCAATTCTTAGGATGTTCTTGAGAGATGGCCACTCTTATGCTTCACTTAGGAATTTCCACCAAAATTTTCAAATTGTTTCCCAACCTTAACCCCTAGCCATGACATTACAACCCTAATTAAGACCCTTGGATTTTAGAGGGGCGTGGTCAAAGAACGGTGGAGGGAGATAGATTTCAACCCTATGGAGAGATTATGCATAGTTGAGATGTGGAGATGACCTTATGATTCTACATAAAAATTTCTTTTTCCGGTTCCCTCGAGGAATCATAAGGAGCTAGCTAAGGGATGAATTGAAGCTAGTGGAGAGAACACGGACCGTCTTGGTTGGGGCTAGGGCGGAGAATGAAATCATTGGATCTCTATGCTTAGCTTAGGTTTGTCTTTTTCAACCTTGAGCATCCTGGAACATGTTTTCCCTCTTTGAATTGAGAAAGATAGGTATCCTTTGGTGCATTTATTTGCGTGTGAGTCGAAATGGACCATTTCATTACCTTGAGGCTTGATTGGTTTTGCTAAAACCTTATCATGTTATGTTTGTTGTGTTTGTCTCTTTGTTCCTGTTTTCCTTGATTGAGGACAAGCAAAAGGCAAGTGTGGGGGACTTTGATGAGTGGCATTTATGCCACTCTTTTATCCTTTTTCTCTAAGGATTCTCCCCTCATTTGCACTTGTTTGACCATTTTTTAAGCATTTTTACTTAGTTTTGTTTCCTCCTTTCCTTTCTCTATTGTCTTCCTTTTTCTTAGTCCTGCCTTCTCTTTATTTTGATTTCCATGCTTGTGTTTTGTAGGTATAATGTGCCGAAAGAAAGAGGATTTCAAAGAGCCAAGATAAATTTTCTACGCGGGCTACTGTGCGGCTACTGCGGGGGCGCGCACCCTTGGCTGTACGGGCGCACAACCCTGTTAGAACCTGCGCATCCAAGCTGAAGAAACTAAGACAAACCAGAGAGTTTGCGAGACCTATTGTGCGACCTCTGTGCGGGCGTGCGGCCTGCTGCGCGGGCGCGCTTGATTTACTCGTACCCTCAAGTTGCGGCCGTGCACTATGCAAAGAGGGCGCACACTACTACTGCGCGGGTGCACAAATTTCGTGTGCGGGCGCGCACCGCTGGGTTTCTGATTTCTTTGCGCCTTGTTGCCCAAGTTTCTTTCTTTTAGGGGAGCCATATATATACAGACGGGACTCTTTGTAATAAAGGACACTTAGTTCTAATTCCATAGAATATTAGCCTAATCTAGAGAGAGAAAGTAGATTGTTATTCAAGCATCCTTTATTGTATTCAACTTTGCTTAAGTTTTAATCTTCAATCAACCAACCAAGAATCCAAGTTTTCATCTTTCATTAATCCTTTCTTTAGTAGTATCTTCTCCTTTCCTTTAGTTTTATTTATTTATTTTATTGTTGCTAATTCTTGTTAATCTTATTAGTTCATCTAGTTGTTATTAATTTCGTTGATTTTAATCATGTTTTGTTTTGAGTTTCTTGAGTTTATTTCTAGTTTTGATATTATGTTTAATCTCCCTTCTCTAGGCTAAACTTTTAGCTAGGGGAAGGGGGTGGAAGATGTGAGTTGATATTGGATGAATGATACTGGTTGGATTGAACTTATGCCATAAATTGATGAAAGACATGATTTTTAATAGCTTGAGATTATTGTTGCACTCTATTTGATGTTTTCTAGTTTAAATGCATGAAAGTGATTTGAACTAGATTAAGATCATCTCTATTTTAATGATTGCATGAGAATGAGTTATTAAAGTGGAGTTTTTATGGATTGTGCTTCTTTATTCTCTTGATTGCATTATAACTAATAGGATGCGTGAGGATGAATCTTATTAGTGTAGACCTATTTCATTGATTTGCCTAGACTATTGAATGAGAATGAATTGTTTAGGTAGAATCTTGGGTTATTTGGCATGTGTTTCATGATAATCATCATTATTCCCCTCTTTCTAATCATATTGGACATCCACGTATCCCTAGCGTCGTCTCTCTTGATTTTAATCATCATAATCTTTGCTTATTTGTAGTTTTAGTGGTCTTTATTCAAAAACCAACAAAAACATTCCCCTTTTTACTCTTGCATTAGTGAAAATTGATGTTGAATGAGTGAGCTTCCTTAGTGGTTCGACCCTTTACTTGCCCCTATACTTGTATTAGGGTAGTTTAGGTATATAAATGATTAATTTGATTAAGTTAGTTGTTTAACGACTTATCCAATCCCTATCTAATCCCTATCAGCTTAACCTCATAACAATCCCCTCTTGACACCTGGACTATACAGTGTCGGGCTACAGGTTCCATTCTCTCAAAAGTTTTAGTGACATATGGCATGTTCTTACATTCAATCTTATGGACTGACTTCCATTTTTCACTATTTCTTTTCATCATATACTTCCTCAACCATTCCATCTGAGTTAGTATAGGTTTGTCCCTAGCATCCTTGATGACAGCATTAAAGGTTTCACGAAGGTTGTTTAAGATTATGTTTGATTTACAGAAAATGCATGTCTAGTCCAGTGTTCTGGTGGGATATTGGCTAAGTAATCATAAGCATCTTCTGATAGAAAGTTTATAGACTCCATTGCAACCTCAAAATGAAACTACCATATGGAAAAAAAAAATCCAAATAAACATAAATAAGCATAATGACATCCAAAACAGATTTGTATGAGTTATCTAGCTTTAATAAGTAGTACATACCAAGGTTGTTGCCATAGCTGCATTCCAAAATAACTCCTTGAACGTTGAGTCAGTGAATTGAAGCTTGAAATTAGCCTAAATGTGCCTAACACAGTTCTTCTCAGCTAATGGCATGACATCTTGGAAGGCTTCAAGTAACCCCTGTCAAAAAGAACACTCAAGTCAGAATTGTAACAAATGCTTGTGTTTACATTATGGAAATTATTTTAGGGTGAATAACTCACCCTCTGTCTGTCTGACATGAAAGTCAGCCCTAAACCACCATGGCAGTCACCAAAATCTTTCTTCAAACACTCAAGGAACCAACCCCAAGTTTCTTTGTTTTCAACTTCAACTGTGGCCCAAGCAAAAGGGAAAATCTGGTTATTGTCATCTTCGGCAACTACAACAAAAATTTACCCTGGATAGGCCTCTTTTAAATGGCAACCATACAATCCTATGAGGGGCCTACACCCTCTATTAAAACCTGTCTTCAAAGCTTGTACATACACATACATTCTCAGAAACAGGGGAGGTTCTGGTCTGTCTATTCCCTCCTCAATAGCAAACACACTACTCCCAGGATTATGCTTGAGTAATGCCTTACCATAATCCCACACCCTACTATATTGCTCTGAGGCAGAACCATATATCATCAGCTTTACTCTAGCCCTAGCTAACCATGCTTGAGAGTACCCTACACTCACTCCTAGGTCACTGAGAACCCTTGCCCTAAAATTGTTAATTTTAGGGTTTGGGTTGCTTCTCCATTCTTCAACATACTTCTCTACCAAAAACTCATATGTGACACATGCATTCATCTTAGATCTCATACACTTGTGCTTTAATATAAGCTCCTTAATTTGCCAAGCAGAACTGTCATAAATCCTCCTTGCAGAGACCTTGAAATTACACTTCCGTACTTCGTCACTACACTTACCCAACCCTAGACTGCTTCTCTTGGGGTTCTACACACAATTACACCTTTTTCTACAGAAAATAGTTATCCTTTCCCCTCCGTTGTGTAGATAATAAAACTCATATCTATTCTCAATAGCATGTACTCTCAATGCCTTCCTTAACACCCTACTACTGCTAAACATTTGCTTCTGCTGAAGAACAATTGGCTTCTTAAAGTCAAAATCCTCTCTAAACCAGGGGCTTTCATCTACTTCCTCATCTGATCCATGCAGACTTTTTAGCTCATCTGAATCAGTTCCCTCCTCCTGCAACACAAGATCCTTGCAGCCTATATCCTTCACAAGTTGACTAAGCTCCCCATCTTTGTCTTCTTTCTGATGTTAGCAAATGTCCTTCCCTTTGGAATAAATAACATCCTAACATGATACTAGTAATTAATATAATATAGGAAAATTTGACATTTGCTACCACTTAAAGCTAATAGCTTCAAATTTGCTTCCTATTTAATTTTTTTTTTTACTTTGCTACCACTCCAAACTGATGGTGTTAAAAATAACTACCATTTAACGATTTCTGTGATAGAAGTTGATAGTGGGCCCCACCTTAGGTAACTAACTCCCTTTCTAACTTTCTCTCTCCCCGTTTTTTCCCCTTCTCTCTCTACCTTCTCTCATTCAATGCTCTGACCTCCATTATTGACGACGAATTTAACCATTTTTTTTACCCAATTTAACCTACATTCTCTCTTTCTCTCTCTATCGGTATCCTTCTTTGTTTCTATCTCTAACTTATCCTCAGATCTGGTTTTCTGTTTTGCGTGAAAGTAGTTGACTGGAGGAGGAGTTCCAACTGGGTGAAGTGGTTTGTCATCACCATTGCTGAAGTGGAAGTGCAAGAATCTTCTTTTGACAGGTAAGAGCTCCTTTTGTCTACTAGGGGACCAAGAATGAAGGTTGATTTGCAAATAATTGAAGAAATATAGGGCAATTTTGGCAAAAAAGTAGTAGTAAACCCTAGAATATCGAGCTTTACTTAATTTAAGCCTAATTATTTAATTTTCCTGCAATTAAATATGAATGTGTGTGTAAATAGTCATGTGTTGTGCTTTATTTGGTTGTAATTGTTAGTTTATGCACAGGTGTACATGAATTTTTAATTGCTTAATATTCTTTGTGTATGTGCTTTATTGTAGAATAATGGATGGTGATAATGAGAATGAGGACATTAAGATTAGATTGTTTGGTGGGTTTATTGCAAAACAAAGAAAAGGGAAAGAATAGTGGGTGTATGAAGCTGGGTTTACTTATTGGAAGCATGATGTCCCACTGTCTTCTATTGATGTAGCATACCTAAGGTATATATGTGCACAAGGGTTTGTTGAGATGTGTTGGGATGCCCCTAACATTTTCAGTATATGGCATAAGGAGAAGGGAAAGACATGGACTAATTAGAAAAGGAGGATTGATACTGAGGAAGATGTTAGGGGATTCATAGAGGCCAAACACAGGGATGGGTATCTAGAGCTTTTTCAAACAGTGGGGCTAGAGGAGTGGGACAGGTATCACCCTAGATCTGGAGCTATAACATTGGAGCAGGACTTTTCAAACTCACCCAATTCTAATCTAGCTGGATCATCCAACCCATCATATTCAGCCCAAACTGGCATTGGATCACAGCCATCCCAATCAAACCCATCACAACCCCACCCATCTCAAACTAGACAATGCTCCAATGTGAAAAACCTCTTCATTAACTAAAATAGGCCCAGGCCTTAGTATTGTGCCAGTTGTAAGGAGAAGTCCTAGGTTTAGCAAAGCTTCTCAAAGTCATCCTGCCATTAATAAGCTACCTCTGTCACAAATACGATCTACTAGCCAAATTAAGCCTGTTGTAGGAGGAAGTTGTTTAAGGGACATGAATCTGAATCTGGGTCAGGTTCTTCCACTTCTGATGTGAGTGATTTAGAGATTGGCTAAGAAGAAGGAGAAGAAGATTTACGCAACAGTGACTAGGAAGATGAAGAGTTATTTAGACAAACATGCAAGGGTTTATTAGGGGAGCTACAACAGTTAGCTGAGTACAAGGATCAAAAAGAAGACAAAGATGGGGAGCTCAGTCAACTTGTGAAGGATATAGGCTGCAAGGAGGAGGGAAGTGATTCAGATGAGCTGAGAAGTCTACATGGATCAGATGAGGAGGTAGATGAAAGCCCCTGATTCATAGAGGATTTTGACTTTAAGAAGCCAATTGTTCTTCAGCAGAAGCAAAGCTTTAGCGGTAGTAGGGTCTTAAGGAAGGCATTGAGAGTACATGCTATTGAGAATAGATATAAGTTTTATATCTACACAATGGAGGAGAAAGGATAACTATTTTCTGCAGAAAAAGGTGTAATTGTGTGTGGAACCCCAAGAGAAGCAGTCTAGGGTTGTGTAAGTGTAGTGAAGAAATAGGGAAGTGTAATTTCAAGGTCTCTTCAAGGAGGATTTATGACTGTTCTGCTTGGCAAATTAAGGACCTTAGATTAAAGCACAAGTGTATGAGATCTAAGATGAATGCATGTGTTAAATTTGAGTTTTTGGCAGAGAAGTATGTTGAAGAATGGAGAAGCAACCCAAACTGGAAAACAACAGTTTTAGGGCAAGGGTTCTCAGTGACCTAGGAGTGAGTGTAGGGGACTCTCAAGCATGGTTAGCTAGGGCTAGAACAAAGCTGATGATATATGGTTTTGCCTCAGAGCAATATAGTAGGGTGTGGGATTATGGTAAGGCATTACTCAAGTATAATCTTGGGAGTAGTGTGTTTAATGTTGTGGAGGGAATGGACAGACCAGAACCTCCCCTGTTTCAGATAATGTATGTGTGTTTACAAGCTTTTAAGACAGGTTTTAATAGAGGGTGTAGGCCCCTCATAGGATTGGATGGTTGCCATTTAAAAGGGGCCTATCTAGGGCAAATTTTGGTTGTAGTTGCCAAAGATGGCAACAACCAGATTTTCCCTTTTGCTTGGGCCACAGTTGAAGTTGAAAACAAAGAAACTTGGGGTTTCAAGAATCCTAATTTATGTTCATCAATTAAACTACAAATTAGTCCATGTCCACATATTAAATTAAGTAATACATGATTCTAATAGTTTAATTACTAAGTTAATCAACATTAATTGCATTAATTGAAGCAAAATATTCACCAAAGTACCTGTTTTCCGCCAAAAATTGCTCCGCAAAAATGCCCAGCCTACCCTAAACCCTTACCTATTTAACACCCACAACTGAATCGCAAATTATTGTTTCAAAGTTTTTGTGTTTTAAATTGATGCAATTTGAATGAGAAAATAAAGAGAAAGAAAGAATCAGAGCAAAGAATCAGACAGAGAAGTGATGAGTTTAGGGAAATCGTATTTAAATGGGGGATAACATCCACTAGCCGTTGGAGTGGACCCCACATAATTTGAAAACTAACAGAAGTTGTTAGATGGTAGTTATTTTTAACACCATCAGTTTAGGGAGGTAGCAAAGTAAAAAAAAAATTAATAGGTAGCAATTCTGAAGTCAGTAGCTTTAAGTGGTAGCAAATGTCAATTTTCCTATCAGTAGACTAAATGCATACAGGAATGAAATAGATCTTAGACGCAATCCAAGGATGAAATGGACATGTGCAGTTGGGCTAGGATTTCATAGATGTGTTGTTGAGCATAATTAGCTACAAATAAAACAAGATGAAGATGATTAAGAAATAGTTTGACAAGTAACCAAAGTAATATATACGTTAAGCAGTCTAATATAATGATTGGATTAATGTGGCCAGGTGGCACTTTGATAAAAGTCATAAGATGATATCAAAATCTTATATCAAAATTGCAATGTATCTGAGCTAAGCTTTTGATATTCTAAATGGAGAAGATATTAACAAGCTTTTGAGATTATTATTTGATTAGTTAGGTTTGTTCAGTGCCTCAGCGGTAAATTCAGCCGAGTTATTTAGACATACTCATCTTGATTGGTGACTGAATTGAATGATGTGAAGTATGTTATAGTGAATTTGTGATTTGTTGAGAGCATAGGATGTTGATGTTCGATTTTGTGAGCTTGAAATTCGAATTTTTGTTGCCACTTTCGATTGATATGCAAAACTGTGGCACTTGTAAAGTGAAATCTGGAAACTGGAAACGATACGAAATAAGTTTGTATGACAACTTGAACCCTGACATCAAAATCTGATCTTATTATGCAGGATTCTGGATGAAGCTCACGCTTCATATGTGGAATCAGTGCCCTTCAAAAGCATTGCTGCATTCACACTATTTCGCAATTAGTAGAGTTACTATATTGTACGAGTGATTTTTTTTAATATTTCTAACCGAAACTAATTGTATGTGATTTGAGAGTTCAGGTCTACAAGGCTACAATTCCCCCATTTGATTTTGTTAATTAAGCAAATTTTAAATATTTTTTTTTACTTTGGATCTTGGTATTTTATTAAAAGAGTTGATTTAAGGGCTAATTCAAGCAAACTATATGCATGTTACATTAGAGGTTCCTTAAAAAAGGAAAAAAAAAGTTACATTGAAGTCTTGGAAAACCCCGTATGTTTCTCTTAAATATTTCTTTCCTTAACTTTGGTTTTCTCTGTTGGGAGACAAGCATCTACAGGCTAACTAATTTAGGAATTCTTATAATGCGACATCTACACGTTAAGAACTCATCAACAAACTTCTTGATATGGTGTGTGAGCTTCATCTTGCATTTTGTGGTTGGAAGAAGATAAACCAGTTTAATTATGAGGTATGCATATTTCAATTACATTATCCCTCTGTTTTGATGATTTATAGACAACTATTATTATTAAGATGAAGCATGTTTTATTATCTTCAATTATTCTAAAAGTTTATATTGAGATAAATATTATAAATCTCATATAACTGGTTTTCTTTGTGTATAAATCACAAACTTTATTCTAAGAGAAGCATATAGATAGTGTGAATGTACAATGTTGCTTATTTTGCTAGTTTTTTGTAATATTACGATCATAGGTTTGGGCATTTATAGAATTAAGTTTTGAGCTTTTGAATTGTTGATTTGCTGAAACTTTAATGTCATAGGTTTTGTTTTAGTTAATGGCATTTGGCAATATTGGATTTAAAAAAGTATGGAAGCCATCGATTTATGCTTACCCAGCATAAATTTGTCAACTTTACTAGCTAAAACTGCATTTCCAAGCCTAAATTTGAGACCTTTTGATCCATTATTGCTTAGGAAGTCTAAAATAGTAAAATGTGTTGGAATGGTATGCAAGGCTTACAAAATATTGCACATATGAGAACAATAAGTTGGGTTGATTGTGTGTTGTTGATTATGAATTGGGTCTATGGATGACGAATCAACATCTGGAAAATGAGGGGTCTACGGATGACGGATCAAATTTGGTGAACAATAAATTGCTGGATTTTTCTTTTGATTGCTGTTTTTATAGGATGTTAATTTATTTAATCAATGTTATTTTGTGCTGAGTTTGAGTTATTTTGATGATGTTATTAGAATTAATAGTATGTATATTGCTCATTTATTTTGGAATTGCTGTTTTTGTCATTGATGTGATTTGTTGTTTGGGATATACAGCAAGGGAGAACGGACACAAGCTGGAGGAGGAGAATAAGAATGCTTTGGAGGATTCCAAAACCGAGGTAGCTGTTCAGAGTAT